TGTAATGAGACCTGGTACCCTCTTCTGGCCTGCAGGCATGCATGCAGACAGAATACTATATACATAATAAATAAATAAATCTTAAAAAAAAAGATTGCTTTTTTTTTTTAACTATACCTTTGCAAGAACAGGATGGAGAAAATTTTGCCTTCATAGTACCTACTTACAATAATTCCCAGCCTGCTAAAAGATATCTGTGGAAAATTCTCCCACAAGGAATGTTAAATAGTCCTACCTTGTGTCAATATTTTGTACAACAGCCACTAGAAATGGCTGTTTCTTCAATCTATAATTTCACATTATATGGATGATATTTTACTAGCTGATTCAGATGCAGATACCTTAGATAAAATGAAGAAGTAAAGACAATTTTGCCTTGTTGCTCCTGAAACAAATTGCTCCTGAAAAAGTACAAAGAGGAGATTCTATTAGTTACCTAGGATATAAGGTAAGTTTATAAAAAAACTCAACCACAGAAAGCACAAATCAGGAGAAATCAATTACGAGATCTTAATGATTTTCAAAAATTGCTGGGAGATATTAACTGGCCATGGCCCACAATTGGATTGACAACTCAAGAACTAAGTAATTTATTCCAAACCTTACAAGGTAATAATGACTTAAATAGTCCAAGAAGATTATCAGCTGAGGCTGAGAGAGAAGTGGCTTTGGTGGCAAAGAAATTACAGGATGCACATGTGGATCATCTGGATCCATTGCTTGACTGTATTCTGGTTATTTTACCTTCTATGCATTACCCTCCTGGAATTCAGATGCAGAGAGAAGACAATATCTTAGAATGGATATTTTTACCACACAGAGTAAAACATTAAAGACCTATGTAGGTTTCTGAGTTGATTCTGAAACGAAAACTAAGATTTCATTAATTAGCAGGAATTTTACTAACGCTGAAATTTCCTCATTACAGACAAAAACTGAACACTGGCAAAGAGCTTGCAGTAATTTTTTTGAGAAGAAATTAACAACAAATATCCCCAAAGCAAGAGACTTCAGTTTACAAAGAGAACTGCCAGTGGCCAAGAGGAGCAGCAGGTGGCAACTGAAGTTCAAGGTGTCAGCCCACTAGAAGGCTGTGATTGATATTTTGTGAATGCTCTAACAAATGAAGCTTGCCTGAAGATCAGAGGGCAAGGCCAGCCACTAGCTAGCCATAGAGGCCAGGTAATTGTGGCACACATCTTTAATCCTAGCTCTTGGGAGACATACACACCTTTAATCCTAGCACTAGGGAGGTTGAGACAGGAAGTGATATGGGCAGGTAGAGAAATGTAAATTTCTAGTCCTTGAAAGTTATTACTACAAACTATTTAAGATAATAAAGAAATGCAGTTCAGTAGTTAGTCACTTATTACAATCAAACTTATAGTCATGTTAGGTATGTTTTCAAAGTCAGAGACATATTTTAGGTAGACAGGTGGTCTTCAAACATCTCATAGACCTACAGAATATGGCATTTAAGATGTTTTAATAACATAAGTGTTTTGTTTTTTTTTAAATTTTTTATGAGACATGTCTGTTCCTGGCAGCACTAATCTACTTCAGAGAAGATGATGGACATCAAAGAAACTCCATATGGAGTTTACTTTCTTTGTGGCAAAAGTTAGTCACTGGGCAAGAAATTGTTCTTGCTTTGATTGGTGTCCAAACTGGACAAGCAGGACACAATTAAGTGACTGCTGAACTCCGCCAAGACAAGGTGGGACAGTCCTTCAAAATTCCTGCTTCACAGAAAAGTCTGTCATATATTCTAGGACTATAGGCTGAAGATGGATGCCCCAAAGTTATAGTTATATGCCTTGGGTGACTGTCCAGACAGCCAGCTGTTTCTGTCATTTCTTAGATTTAGAAGATGTTCGCTCTGCACTTTCTCTTTACTCAGGTAATATTATATCCTTCTTAGGTCTCTGACGGAGTTGAAGACTAGATAGTTATAGTATTTCTTGTTACCAAATTCAGTAAAGAAACTCAGAAAAGAGGTGTCGAGTGTATAAAGTTGAGACATAAAAAGATAGTTTTGGCTTGGTAATACAAGTTATGATAGAAAACAAATTAGGCACAACACTTTGGACTCACCAAAATAGGATAATGGAGCATTTTCTCTGAATCTGTCATATTCAAGTGGACTGGACATTTTTAATGTAATTCTTACCTGTATATATTTGTATAAAGTTATTGTACTTATTATATATAGTTCTACTATGTTAGTTTATAGTTTTGTTTTTTTTTTTAGACAAAAAGGGAGAAATTCTGTGATATTCTAAGTGTTCTGACAAATAAAAGTTGCTTGGAGTCTGAGGGCAGAGCTAGCCACTAAATGACCAAAATTAGCCACAGAGGTTTTGGAGGAATATGGACAGATAGTAGTAGTAGTAGTAGCAAGGCAGGGCAGAGAGGGATCTCAGTCATTTTGGAGGAAGGAACAGAGCAGGTAGGAGAGACCTGGTGGCTTCTCTGACCCTTCAGGTTCTTACCCTGATGTCGGACTCCTGAATTTTTATTGATAAAGAATAATTAGGATAACGCTTCACCCAAGGTCAGCTACATTAATCTTAGGCCCTGGCCCAGGAAACGGAACTCAGTGACGGGACAGCACCTAGGACTAGTAATGTGGGCTGTGGCTCTCTCCAGGGAAAGTGACTTCCGTTGGATTCTTCCCACCCCTGGGAAGCTGAGACACTGCTGTCCTGGAGGTTCTGTGACCTTGACCCCTGAAGTCAGGCAGAGGCCTATTACCCATCCCTTACTGGACGATGTGAGTAGAAAGGTTTATGGCCAGTGTGACATATTCAAGGAGCTGGCAAAAACAGGAGTGACAAAAGCTTCTACCTCAAGAGCCAAGTCTGATCATGATCCAAATACAAACCCAAAGTTTTGCTTTTATAAAGACTGTGAATCTGGGAAGGTTAGAGATTAGTATGTAGGTAGGGAAAAAATAGACAGCCAGAGCTTATCCTCTGTCTCTCTAACAAATGGGCAAAACTGAAGGCTAGAAATCTCAGAACAGGGAGAACACGAGAAGAGACTGTTAGGTCTCTTGTACCTTCTCTGGGACTATCAATGAATTGGACATAAATAACATACTCTAGGGGGTAAAAAAATGTGTAATCATTTGTCAATTAACAATGGGATGAGTCCAGAATATGTGGCCTTGTTACTATGACTATCACACAATTTACTTACACAAATCCAATTATGACATTAAAAGGTGATTGAATCTTAAGGGATCACCAATATACAAACAGACTAAAATGTGTTTTGTGGCAAGTGACTGTATTAGTTTAGTATCCAGCTCTTCCAAATCTGTTCTCTATGGTCCCACCACCATATATATTATATATACTTTGCCTTGGATAACTGAGTTGGGATTGAAACCTGTGAAGTTCACTGGAAAAGCACACATATGCAAACTGAGTAGAACTTGCATTAATATGAAGACTTGGAATGCAGCAGATGGAAAGCCCAAATCATCTTGTGTCATTTTTTGTCTTGTAATAGCCATTTGTCACCCACCTCTGCATCTGACCTAAGTTCTTTTAGAATTTATCTATTTAGGAGACTATTATCGTCTACCAACTTAGAAGCTAAGTATGTCACCAGCTAGTATATAAAACCTATAGCATGGGTAAGATGGCTCAGTGATTTTAAGAGAGCATGCTCTTCTTACAAAAGACCAAACTTTGGTTGGTTCTGAGCACCCACGCAGGGTAGCTCACATACCTTTAACTGTAGCTTTCTTCTGACTTCCAGGGGAGAGTTCATGTTCATACATACCCAAACACATAAATAAAAATAAATCTTAAACCAAAACGAGTGTTCCCATCCCCTTTGCTTACAGGTTTTTCTCATCTGCTACCTTTATGTTAGGTCATACTGTTTTTGGACACACAAGGTCTCATGTAGCAGAAAGCTGTCCTCAACTTGTTACCTGGATCATGGTGGCTAATAACATGATACAGGAACTTGTTTCTTACTTTTTTGTTTTGTTTTTAAACAAACAAAAAAACCAACTGTTACTCTGAGGCTGGAAGACTGGTAGGGGTGATAATCTTGGCTCCCCCCTCCCCCTTGAAATTCACTCTGTAAACTAGGCTGACCTCTGACTCAGAGATCCAGAGTACTGGGATTAAAGGCATCACCACCACTGCCCCGACATCTTCAATCATCTTTAATAGTCATTTATCTCTCACCTCTGTATCTAAGAGCCTTTGAAAGACATTAACTATACCATTAACTTCCACTAACCTGAAAGCCAAGACTATAATAATCACATAGCCTCTAAAACTTACAGCAGGTGTCTCCCCAATTCTGCCGTAGCCTGCCCACATCTCACGTTACCTTTGGGGAGTTTCGTTTTATGTTGACAAACCTGCTTAGAGGGAGCAGAAAGGCAAGCATCCAAATTCTGCTTCTTCCATGACTAATTATGCGACCTTGAGGACAGGACTTAGGTTACCTGTACCTACAGCCTGGGATAACTCAATACAGGAAACCATGATAGTTTTCTACGAAAAGAGAAAGGTCAAAGCAGTCATTACCCTGAGAACTCAAGTCGTGAAGCACTCGCGACTTACTCTTCAGGGCCGTCCTTATTTAGGCCGACCCTGACTCGGGGGCTCACTGGCCGACGGCTATCCCACTGCAGCCTGCCAGGTCTTTCTGGCTTTCCCGTTCGGCCCCCGGAACCCTTTCCCACCGCGTAGGCGCACGGGGCCCTTCCTTAGCTACAGGCGTGCGCCCGTGCACCCCCGAGTGACGCGAAACTGCGGGGCGCGGAAGCACTGAAGCCACACGGCGCGCAGCACCCTCTTCCTCGGGTCTCCTGAGGCCGTCCCTCCAGGCCCGAGGCTGTCGGCGCCCCGTGACCCGCTCCGTCGGGCGGACGACTCCGCAGGCGCGCGGCCGGACAGCACGGCCGTCCTAAGCGGCCTGCGCAGGCGCACTGGCCCGCCGCGCCTGCGCCGTTCGTCGCCCTCCGGTCCGGCCGCTCGACCCCGGGTTGACGGGAGGCGGCGGCCGTCGAGGGTCGCGGCCCCGCCCGCCCTGCCTTTGAGGCCCTCAGTCCCCTCACCAGTCGCCGGAGGGCCGCTCCGAGCCGCGTTCACTTCAACGCGCTGCGGACGGTGCTGGGCTCGGAGTGCGGAGGAAGGGGCGGGTGCGGCGTGGGGGCGGGGCCAGAAGACAGCGTGCTGATTGGCCTGCTCTGCCCGCAGGGTCACCCCTTCGCTGTCGCTGGTTGCTGGTGCAACGATCCCGCGCAAGCGCACTATTGACCTGACCGGGCTGAGTTGGAAGTTCACGTAGAGTGCGGACCTGGCGATAGGGTCACCTGCTATGCTCAACTAACCTGCCTCCCCTTTTGGATGTCCACACGTGGGCCGCTTCCTGCCACTCAGAGGAAAGAGCGCCATTCCCAGGGCCACCTGGAGACGGGTCAGGGCCCGAGTAGGTTACCTGAGGGAGGCCGATCGCCCCAATCCGCTCCCAAGGTAGTGTCTTCCTATACGGTGAGGCCAGACCGGATGTCCACTATCTTGATTAATCTTCCCCACAGATGAATGGCATGCCCAAGAGCACTAACAGGGACAGCGGTACTCCTGTTCTGCTGGCCAGCTGCCTCAGGTTGAGACTAGGGTGAGTGGAGAAGGCTCCCAACACTGCAGAGCAAGGGCGTCCAACCCGCGAATGCACGGGACGCCTAGGAACGCGGCTCAATCCCAAAACGTAAACCTGCTGGGGAATTAGCTCAGTTGGCAGACTAGCCAAGGCCGGGAGTTTATTTACCAGCACCACATAAAACAGATTGGTGGTACGCAGACTTGAAAATCCAAGCACACCAAAAGTGGACGCAGGAGGATCAGAATTCAGTCATCCCTTGCCTCCGCAATTCCTAGCCAGTAGACTACCTGACACTGTGTGATGGTTAGTTTTGTCAGTTCGGTAGGATGTAACATCACCTGAGAAGACAGTCTCAACTAGGAATTACATGGATTGGGTTGACCTGTGGGCAAACCTGTGAGACATTTTCACCATTTCATGGATTGGGTTCTGCACTGTACAAGTGTTGAGAGGCGACTTAGAGAAAGCAAGAGGCATATCCATTCACTTTGTTCATGGCTGGATGTAGGTTAACTAGCTGCCTTAAGTTCCTGCTGCTGTGACTCCTCCGCAATAGCAGACTATAACCTAGAGTTGTATGCTAAAATAAAATCTTGCTCCGCTTAGTCGCTCTTTGTCAGGGTGTTTTACTAAAGCATCAGACATGAAACTAGGAAAGACCCTGTGTTGAAATAACAAAAGTGTAGCTTAAAAGCTGTTCTTGTGTGTGACTTACTTTATAATGACTTCACAGTTTACTCTTTAGACAACAAAGATTGAAATGTCACACAAAATAAAAATATGACTTTGTATGTAAGTATGGGCTCAGTATTATGGTGGTTTCCAGGGTGTTATCTTTCAGGTACAGACAGTGAAACTGGCACCACTGGATGTTACATATGCTTGGAGTGACTTGAGTGAAAGGCAGCGGTTATTGAGGTGTTAGCCTATTATTGCAGAACAGGTAGGTTTTATTTGGGGATGGTCTCAGTATGTAGCCCTGGCTGGCCTGGAACTGGCAATGTAGACTAGTGTGGCTCCAAACTCACAAGAGATCTACCTGCCTCTGCCACAGCAAAGTAAGTAAAGATTAAACAGGACTCCAGAGACAGACTGCAGATGAACAATGGCTGTTCAGCCAAACATGGACAGACAGATGACTACATTTTTGTTGAGGCATTCTGCTTAATTTGCAGGGAATTCGTGCAAGTTTCCTAAGACTATGACTTGAAAGGCATTATATGCAAAGACACACTGCCAGATTAGGTGCTTATCAAGGGTTGTATTGTAAGGAAAAACAGAACTGGAAACCTGCCATTTTTCCAATGGAATGCAGAGTTGCAATCTGACATTCAAGTCAAAGGAAAATCTGGTCATGTCTGACTTTTATAGGTTTTATCTTCCTAGATACACACATCACTCACCTTAGGATCAAATCTTATTCACGCCAGCAGCTACATTTGAGCAACTAGTTTCAAGCATGAAGTACAATTAAGAGTAAAGTTAGAACCAAAATCTGATGAACACCTGAGTGTTGCTCGAATTTTAAAATGGTCTTATATAAAAAACCCGGAGCCAGATACTAGGGTCAATGCTGAAAGATCAGAGAGACAAAGGAACAAGCCACTGCCACATCTCACCTCACCAACTCCACAAATCCCGTTTGAAAGCCTCTGAGTCCTCAGCCAAGAGGGGTCCAGCTGAAAAGGCAATCCTTTAGTTCCTGTCTCCGCACGCTTTACATACTTTTCTCTGCCCAGCCATATTACTTCCTTCCTAGTGCTGGGATTAAAGGCCTGTGTGCTTCCCAAAATATTGCTAGCAAAGGCATGAGATCTCAAGTACTGGGATTAAAGGTGTGTGCTACCACTGCCTGGCTCTGTTTCTCTCCTAGACTGAATCAGTCTCATGTAGTCCAGGGTGGCTTTGAAATGGCAGAGATCTTTAATCTTCCTGACTGCTAGGATTAAAGGTGTATGCCACCACTGCCTGGCCTCTATGTTTAATTTAGTGGCTGGTTCTGTCCTCTGATCCTCAGGCAAATTTTATTAGGGTACAACAAAATATCACACCTGAGAACTGAAACTACTTCACTGAACCAGATATTATGTATTAGGCTTCAATATCCCACTATGCTTTAATTATTAGTGATTGCAAATCTGGGACCTGCCAATGATTTTAAGACTCTGAACAGAGTACTGCATAATTAGAACCATTATGCAAAACTTGTTTATATATGCTAGCAGAGATCATCAAAATTGTACATGGACACCCCCCTTTTTTGCTAGTGTTATGTATTTACTGAGTGGCCCCAAATGATAGTTCTTGTCTAATGTGGACCAGAGAAGACAAAAGGTTAGATACCAGATATTGAGCATGCTGAGTGGAGCAGGGCAAGAGTTGTAGGAAGTGGAGTGGGTAAAGATTTTGGGCGAGTTAACAAATCATAGGATCCCTCTTTTCTAGTAGGCTGAGATGGGAACCCAGACCCTTAAATATGCTTGGCAAATGCTCTATCACAGAGCTACATGCTCAACTTTTCAGAAGTTTTTACTGGTGCCAAGGTGTCTGCAGATGGCTGGCTAATGGAATATAAATAGAACATCACATGCCCTATCCCATACCCAAGAGTGTGAGCATCTCTCACTGGGGATGGCAGAAGCAGCTGCATCACATGAGCCCTGTGAATGTAAACGGCTTGCTGTTACTACTGTGTAAGGGTGGAGTCCAGTTTCATTCATCATGTTACTCTATCACTGAATATGTTTTCCATGATGTGTTTCAATTTCAGTTCCACATGCGAAACATGTCTGCCTCCTGCTAATTCTAATTCTTTTCCAAATAACTTTATAGTGGTAAGCTGAGTTTCCAGCGGTGGGAAGGACCAAGTACAGCAAAGTGAAATGTAACCATTTAGAACTAGAACAGAAAGACTGGGTTAACTAAGTCCTGAATTGCAGACCTCAGTTTTTTACAGAATGGTTTTAATTAATCTCGTTATTAATGGGAAAGCACATCAAAATAGGTTTCAGGACATTAAAGAAGCAAAAACTTACAAATAACATCAACAATACAAGTGATTCTAATGGTTTGACAATTATCTTTTAAAACATTAAGTTAGACAGGAGCCATTTAAAGAAAAATATTTATTTTTAACTATGTCTAAGTGTGTGGGTATGCATATGTGCGCTGACTCCCCTAAAGCTGTACTTGTGAGCTTCCTGACATGGGTCACTAGGAACTGAATTCATTCTGGAATAGCCATCTCTTCAGCTCTAAGACAATAATAATAGAAAAATGATTGGGGTTCCTGCTGCTTATAGGGTTTGGTCAACTTCAAGGTGTCAAACACTTATTCCAACAGAAAGACTAATGTTTCTTTTCTAACACTTTGGTAAGTGAACTAACTGTGAAGAACCATCAATAAACCAGACAGGTAAACGCCATGAATTTGGTACAGTGCGATGATGTAACGCTGGTAAGGTATTTAAAGATCAGTCCTTCTGGAAACAAACTTCACTAGTTCATGATGGCTTAGTCTTTAAGGATGAAATTAAGCAAATAATAAAGTTAGGGGGAAAATTGTGTCTCAAACTAATGTATACAGCAGTGCTTACAAAGCTGAGGCAGGGGGTGATGGCAGTTCCAGGCCTGGAGTACAGTGAAACCATCTCAAAACATTCCCAACAACCTGCTGCTGCGGCTGCCAGCCCTCTGGGGTCCTTTTTGCTGCCTCTGGCCTGATGCAGTTATGCCTCCCTTCTCTCTTTAATGCTTTTAAACTTTTTTTAATTAAAAAAAAAAGTCTATATGCATGTGCACCACATGCACTCAGAGCCCAGAGACCAGAAAAGGGTGTTAGATCCCCTAGAATTGGAGTTACAGATAGTTGTGAGCCACATGTGGCTTCTGGGAATTGGAGTCCTCTCAAAGAACAAATCAAGGGGTCAGGCTAGCACATCAATGCCTTTATCCGTTGGGCCTCTCACCAGCCCAGACCTTTGTTGTTATCTTTTATTTCCCTTACAACATACCCTAAACTATCTTCATTAAAAACTAGTTTTTTTTGCCAGGCATGGTAGCTTATACCTTTAAACCCAGCACTTGGGGAGGGAGCAGAGGCAGGCCGATCTCTGTGAGTTCCAGGGCAGCCATAGCTACAAAGTGAGACCCTGTCTCAAAATAATAATAATAATAATAATAATAATAATAACAACAACAATAACAACTACTTTTTCTTGGGCTGGAGAAATGGCTCCGTGGTTAAGAGCACTTGCTCTTGTAGAGGACCTGAATTTAGTACCCAGTACCCACATGATGGCTCGCAACATCCCTACCTCCAGTTCTAGGAGAGCCAATGTCTTCTTTTGACCTCCGAGGGCACCAGGCACGCATGTGGTACACATACATACATGCAGGCAAAATACTCATACATATAAAATCAACAAAATCTGAAAAGAATTTTAAAACTAAAACTTGCAACTTTTGTAGTGCTAGGGACTGAACTCAGAACCCAGGGCCTTCCACATGTAGACAAGTGCTGTACCACTGAGCTGTATTCCCACACGCCACTCGTACTTTTTTCTGGAGACAGTATCACACTGTTGCCCAGTGTGGCAATCCTCCTGCTTTCGTCTGCTTCAGTGCTGGGATCACGGGCGTGTACAACTAACTCAGTTCTTTCTTCTTACATTTGTGTGTATACTCGAATGTGCCGACTCACGCAGTCCGTTTTCTCCTCCACCGTCTGGGTCCCAGGCATCCAACTCAGGTTGTCAAGTTTGGCAGAAGGGGCCTTTTAACTGCTGAGCTATCTCCCAGTCCATACCTTTTTACATTTTATTCCTGAAGGTAGGTGTGTGTGTGTGTGTGTGTGTGTGTGTGTGTGTGTGTGTGTGGTGGTAGGGTTGAATCAAGGGTCTCGAGCACGCTAAGCAAATCTCCATCAGCGGATTACATCCCCAACTCTTAAGCTGTCATTTACAAGGTTAGGATGGAAAGAGAGAATTGAGAACTGAAGAACTCTTGGCAGCTTCCATCCAAACTTCTGTACTTCAGAGATAACCAAATCTGCCCAGGCAGTGGTGGCGCACGCCTTTAATCCCAGCACTTTGGAGGCAGAGGCAGATGGATCTCTCTGAGTTCGATGGCAGCTTGGTTGACAGAGTGTCCTAGAGGACATCCAGGGCTACACAGAGAAACACTGGAGAGAGAGAGAGAGAGAGAGAACACACCAAATCCCACCATGGTTCTAGCACCAACAGTCCTGGCCCTAGGATGGCCCAGCCCTTTACATTCCACTGAAGTGCCTGTTTGAGAAAGCTCAATGCTGCCAGGAGAACAAACTGTTCATTTTGGGCAACACCTGGTTGCCAATAACAAGCTCCCAACTTACTTTTCTTAAAGACTTACTAAAAAGGGCCTAGAATTTTGAGTCCTTCTTTTGTCCCCTTATGATAGTGTTTGTATTTCTTACACTTTAGGAGTGTCCTTCTCAAAGAACCAAGGACCATACATATCTTTGCAGTGTAGTTATTAGGAAAGACAGGGCCTCCATCTCCTAGTCTTGGAGACATGTAAAAGATTCTTTGGTCTAACTTTAGACGGGCCTCTGTACACTATCTTG